TACGATATAGTAGAAATTCCTAACTCGTAGCGTTCCGAAGTCTCATTCGATATAGGGTTGTCGAAATGTGAAGCCCGATAAAATTACTTTTAAATCACATTGGTGCACAATTACTACCTTGCATAAAAATTCTCAAAAACCCCGAGTTAGTTTGAGTATCGTAGATTTTCTACAAAAAATTTATAGAAAGTTAGTGAAGGTATGTTATGTTTCACGCTTACGTATGTTAGAAACTGTTGTTGCGTATAGGGTTGTGCAACACTAGATTTTCTGAATATAAAGAAAGGGCGAGGAAGGTGCTAGTGTGGCACAGCCCGCGGGATGCGAGCGCAGTGGCGTAGCTGCAACGAGCCTACACGTCCGCAGGACACTTAGTACATATTCCTTTTGACCGAGGCCTGGGAAAGGCTTCGGAATGTACAATTTGACACTTTTGTAATTCATATTTATTATTTTTATACTGCGTATTTGCGCAATTTTTAAATATTGATTTGATGAATTTTGGTGGTCGTTGCATTTGTTTATGAAATAGATTTTGTTGTTACGTTATTGTTTATTTAGTTTTAAATGAATCCCACCTCCGCCGCCGGTGGGCGGTGGCGCCGGCGGCGACTTACTGTCATAAGTACTAGCCAGAAGGACTTCACGTCGTGAAACTGTTTGACTGTAATAATATTAATGTATAATATTATACTTAGATATAAAATGTGGATGCCGTGGCGTTTTGCGTTCGCACTGCCTGCTTTGTTTATTCTATATGAATGTCAATTAATTATTCAATGCACTTGCAAAACATCGCATATGTGATCAAAGTCGAATTACTCCAACAACGACAATGATTTGCTAGGAAACTAGAAGGCTCGAGGGAGCAGTATGACAAGAGTAATGCGCTGTGAGTGCTATGTTATATGGCGGGCAGGCAGTGCGGGAACACGTTCTCCTAAACGCTTTAGGTATGAGCGGTATAGCATCCACGACACCGCTCATACCAACATTATATTGTAGTTAATATAACTATTTACGAATAAAGTTTAGTGCGGGCGCGCGGCCGCGGCTTGCCACCGCGCACCTTGCCATAGGTGACCATTGCAAACATGCTGCGCTGTCATGGCCGCGGCTGCGCGTTCTATTATAATAATATAAAAAGACAAAATAATGTTAGGTAGATTTAGGCATAATATAGATCGGGCAGATGAAAAAAGAATATTTGTTTGATGTTACGAGACAGACTTTCTTTTCCAAGTACAAATTATTAATTTTATTTTATTGTGTACCTTTGTATATTATTTGAACTGTACATATGTAAAGTAACACATTAGATATGGTCTATTTATTTAATACTTAACGACCGAGGTTCTAAAGTTGTTTTTGTCATTTATGTAATGGTTATGATTTGATAATTTATATTTTGTTCGTTTTCCGCTTCCTTGTTTCCATTGCGAGCGACTGCGGAGGATGTGACGTTCTCAGTCGATAGAGGTTATGTTTCACGAATGTAATTTCTCGTATTGCCGTTTATGTTAAATTTATATTGAGTACGTTTAACCTCTCGGTTCCTTATTGAATCCCACCTGAACACGTTATAACTTATAAGTAGTTGACCAGTCAATGTGAAGACTGTTTAGTTATTATTTTGTTAATAGATTTAAACTCGGTACCGATTACAGTGTTTTTATGGATTTTTTACACGCAAGATGCACGTAACACGTTTCATATCATTTCAATTTTTGTAAGTCGATTTATTTTTTGAGACGACGACATTGGAATACTAAGGACCTCGATGTAAGTATAAAATGTACGCTTTAAATAAATCGGAATAAATAACTCGATATTAATATAGATAGGTAGGTATGTTAAGGTGCAGTTAGTGCCTGCGCGAGCCGCCGCGAGGCAACGGCGCTGGTGCCGCGGGCGGTCGCCGCGTGCCGACTCGCAAGTCAGAAAGCATCATTTAGTTCACTGCCGAAGAACAAGTAGAGTTAAGTCGCGGAGCGTTACTTTGAACACATACAATAGGTTTCCGTTCGGTCTCCACCTACAACTAGGCGCGTCCGCGTTAGCATAAATTTTTAGATCGTTAGTGACCGCAATTTGTGCAATAAGTTATCCACTGTTTTGTGTAATTATTGGAATATCGTGTGCTCAATTTTTTCGACTGACCAATTGTAAATTTCGAGTCAAGAACGTATATAATATAAGATTTTTTTGTCGATTTATTACTTCTTGACCTTATTTTCTTCCTTTAATTCTATAAACAGTTTTGTTGTATTTCTTTAAGAATGATTATTTAAGGAAGTTTGATTGTATCTTTTTCTACGATGATTTGAAATATGCGTCTCACGGTACGTTAATATTGCGCATATCACAAAACAATATGGAATGAATATAGATGTGTGATTCTACGAGTGATATAATTTATACAAATAATCGTAAAGGATTACGCTGGTGCAAATTGAACTTCACCTAATATTGTATTCATTTGCAATACAATGCAATATACATCGACATCTAAATTAAATTATTGTGTAATCTTTTTATTTCTTGTTAGAAACCAAAATAATGCGAATGAATACAATAAAGGGAGAGTGGGATACAGAAGATAGTGAATAGATAGTCTTCTGTGATAATAAGGAGCAAAGATTTTGATAAATTTTATTTGATCAAATGCATTTCAATATTTTATTGATGTAACGGTACAGTACGGCAACGATGTATTTAATGTGATCCTTTGTTACTGAAGGCATTTCTTACATTTTGACTGAAGAATAGCTGCTCTGGAATGT